AAAAAAAAAAAAAAGACCTGATTCATATTCCTAGAAATACATGGCCAAATAGTAACAGGAAGAAAAGATGAAGTGCATTAGGTTTCTTTGGGGCTTTCTGTGCAGGAGGGTGAGGGGCAGGAGGAAGCAGGTGGTAAGGAAGAGCAGTCATGCAGCTAGATGCTTTTCTATGCCAGAGAGTGCTAGCACCACCTGGAATGCTTTAAGAAGTATGCAGGTTGGAGCATGGCTCAAGTGGTTAAAAGTTGTTGCTTAGCAAAGAGTCCCTGAGTTCAAACCTTGGTACTGAAAAAGAAAAAAAAAAAGGCAGCACAGAGACAAAGAAAATTAGAATCTCTATCAGGTTTTGTTTTTGTGCCAATACTGGGGCTTGAACTCAGTGTCTCATGCTTTTTTTTGGGGGGGGGGTTCCAGTTGTGGGGCCTGAACTCTGTCTTCAGCTCAAGGCTAGTGCTCTACCACTTGAGCCACAGCACCACTTCCGGCTTTTTTTCTTTTTGCTTATGTGGTGCTGAGGAATCGAACCCAGGGCCTCATGCATGCAAGGCAAGCGCTCTACCACTGAGCCACTTTCCCAGCCCCTCTCATGCTCTCTTGAAACACATCTCTAGCAGGGCACCGGTAGTTCACATCTGTAATCCTAGCCACTTAGGAAAGGCTGAGATCTGAGGATCAAGGTTCAAAGCCAGCCCAAGCAGGAAAGTCCATAGACTCTTATCTCCATTAAACCACTAAGAAAACTGGAAGTGGCGCTATGGCTCAAGTGGTAGAGCACTTGCCTTGAGCTCAAGAGCGTAGGGACAGCCCCCAAGCCCAGAGTTCAAGCCCCACGACTGACCAACAAAACAAAACAAAAAGAAACACATGGGCTGGGAAGGTGGCTCAGTGGTAGAGGGCTTGCCTTGCATGCCTGAGGCCCTGGGTTCGTTTCCTCAGCACCACATAAGCAAAAAAAAAAAAAAAATCTCTGTTTCCTGGTATTAGTATTTTATAAAGCTCCCCAGAGCTGAGAATCAGTGACACATGCCTGTAATCCTAGCTATTCAAGAGGCTGAGATCTGGAGGATCACAAGACCAGCCCAGGCAGAAAAGGTTTGCTAGATTCCATCTCCAAAAATGAGCAGCAAAAATCAGGGCTGGAGGTATGGCTCAAGTGGTAGAGCAAGAGCCAAGCAAGCATGAGGCCCTGAGATCAACCTTCAGCCTCCGCACTTTTGCCATCCCCCACCACCAAGAACCATTTTGTAATCTCTTGGTGTTTTTATTCTAGTACATGCCAACAGCTGCCACTATGCAAGGAGCTTACATCTCCCAGTACCCACCTGTGCCTTCTTCTAACGTTTCAGTTGAGGTAAGCGCACCATTTCTATACAGTGAGGAAAGGACCTTCCTCTCCCCAGGGTGCTGAGTCTGTGTTCACAAATAGCTGGGAGGTACATGAAGAACATAGGAAGCAACTGGAAACCAGGAGCTACTCAGGAAGCTGAGAGCTGAAGATCAAGGTTTAAAGCCAGCCTGGGCAGGAAACGTCCATGTGACTTTTACCTCCATTTAACAAGCAAAAGCCAGAAGTGGAGCTGTGGCTCAAATGGTAGGACTCTCGTCAAGTGAAAAAGCTCAGAGAAGGTGCCCTAAGGTTCTGAGTTCAAGCCCCAGAACTGGCTCCTCCACCACTGGAAAAACAAATATAGGAAGCAAAGATTTTGTCTATGTCATGGCCAGAGAGGTTAATGCCAGGATACTATCTTGAATTGCCTCACGAAATGTTCCCAGTACAGCTGCAGTGTGGTGCTGGGGTGCATCCTCACAGGACAGTGGTGGGCTCCGGTGAGGCTACTTTATGTGAGTGACTCTTCTTCTTGGCTGTGCTGCAGGAGAACAGTGGCCAGCAAAATCAAGTGGCAGTGGAGACACCCTCAGACCATGGGGTTTACTCTTTCCAGTTCAGCAAGTAACGACAGGTAAGAAGCTCCAGCTAGGGGACATGCCCCTAGCACAGCCTCTGATTTAGGCTACCTTTAGCATTCACCTCCATTTCCATTCATTGAATAGAAATGAATTCTTAGGCAAAGAATACAGGTGGCTCACACCTGTAATCCTAGCGACTCAGGAGGCTGAGATCTGAGGACCATGGTTGGAAGCCAGCCTGGACAGGAAAGCCCAAGAGACGATTTTCAATTAAACCATCAGAAGGTAGAGCTGTGGCTCAAATGGTAGAGCACTAGCCTTGCACACAAAAGCACAAAAGCTCAAGGACAGCACCCAGGCCCTAGGTTCAAGCCCCAGAGCTGGCACTCGCCTGCATGCGTGTACACACACACAAACAGAGAAAATTCTTGGAAACACCCCCAGACTCAAGGGTTAAGCAAGTTACCATCTGTAGACTGTATTATGGACTAACGATTGGGCATCGTTTTTCACAGACCTGGGCCAAGAGAAGAAACCTTGACACTCCTGCCCTGTGCTGTTTCTTCATTGCTGACGGAGGCTGGGCACCTGTCACTTTTTCTATGTGCTACACTCAAGGAGATCAAAGAAACCTTTTTCTTTTGCAAAGAAAGTTTTTTGCTTTGTTTTTCTTGCAATGTACTTTTCTCCTACCCCAAAGAGACATGGCGGCTGGAGCTTCTCATCTGCATGAAGAACTTTTTTTTTTTTTAATTATTCATTGGCGTGATTTGAGAAGGCTTTTAAAATGATTGGAATTATCTCTTTAAACCAAAACAAAAAACAGAAAGACATGGTGCTAGAAGGCTGACAAAGGAGCCTGCTTGCTGCGTTTGGTTATGGACTTTTTTTTTGATATGTGTGTATGTGTTTAAGAAATATGCAGACTTTGTTTTGTAAAACTCTCAGCTCACATCAGTCTCCTTTTTACACATTTTTTTTTGGTTTGCTTTCTCTCATCCAAGTTGTTCTGTTTTTCTTTTCCATATAGCTGAGCTTTCCTGCTTTGCTTTTTTTTTTTTTTTTTTTTTAGTTTTTGTGAATTTCTTTTTTGAATGAAATTTCCTGTAAGTTTGGAGGTGGAGAATGAATGGGCAAGGACAAAGTAGAATCCTAACAGCCAGAGGAAGTAGCTTGCTCCCTGGCTCTGTCTCATCTTGGGAAGAAAAGACTAGAGTCTGGCTACAGTAAGCACAGCTGTGAACTAGGCTCCAGGAAACCACCTCACCTGCTGTGCACTCGTGGCTAACACCTGTAATTCTAAGCTACTCAGAAGGCTGAGATCTGAAGATCATGGCCAGGAAGGTGCATGAGTGTCTTATCTCCAATTAACCACTCCAAAAGCTGGAAATGGAGCTGTGACTCAAGAGGTGGAATACCAGCTTTGAATGAAAGAGCTAAGGGACAGTGTCTAGGCCTTGAGTTCAAGCCTCAGTACTGGCACGAAAAGAAAAAGAAAAAAGAAACCACCTCACACCCTTCAAAAGCCATCCTTGAAGCAAATTTGCCTCTTTCCTGGCAAGTTCCGGAATGACAGACTTACTGGCTTGTGACTAGCATTCACTGCCCAGCCTACCACCTTCATAGGAAGCTTTGTTCCCAGCCTCAGATTTTCAGGAATGTCTGCTCTCCTGCCCTGGGAGGATCTTCTCTTCTGCTGGGTCTCTCAGCCTCGTTTTTCCCTGCAGCTCATTGCTGTATTATGTACTGTCTGCAGCTGTGACCTTGCCAAATCCACATCAGCCTCCTTCCCACTGGGGAAGACCTGCTGTTTCACCCATGGACCAGTGGTTCTTGACTGCAGGTGGCTTTATCCCCCAAGAGATGGTTCCTGATATCTGACATCTTTCATTGCCATGCCCAAGGATGGTTGTGTGCGCTACTGGTAGCTAGTTGGTGTCGGCCTGGATGCTGATGGCTAGCCAATGGTATACAAATACCGTCAAAGATTTTTCTGGCTCAAAACATCACTAGTGCTTTGATGAAAACAATGCTTCTCTGCCCTCTGGGAGTCAGGTGAACCTGCACCCTGGACACAAAGTGCCTTTTGACATTACTACACCTGGTTGGGAGGGATGGAACTGTTGTAACCTTTGACATCTCTATGCAAGAGCCATCCTTGCATAGTGCATTGCTGTTGTGCACAGGCCAGCACATCTGGCTTGAAAGAATCGAGGTGGGACAAGGACAGAACGTGGACAGAGCTCTCCTAAGTGTGCTGAGTAATCTCCCCTCCCCCTGATCTGGTATATTTGGACCCCTTCTCCAGGGATCCAGCACATCAGAAATAATTTTCCTTCTTGTAGAAGGCCAACAGGGAGGTAGGGGAGAATAGAGCAATCTACATCCCACCTCATTCTTCACAAGATCAGGAAAGACATTTTAAAATCTCTCTGGTCTTTTAACTGTCATCTTCTGCAAGACCTGACTGCACATAGAGACAGGTAGGAGAAAGCTTTGCCCATCCACTAGGAAGTAAGATCCTATTCCTGGCTTCTCCCAGACACTTGCTCCCACACAAAGTCCCCCTTGGTGTTGGGGGCCAGGTATGTCTCCTGAGACAATTGGGCAAACAAGTGATGGAGCTCAGAAGACAGTGTCAGAGCAGAGGAGAAAAACTGTGGCTTCGTCTCTGTATGCAGAACTTGGGGTCTAGCTTTCCCCCCTTGCCTCTCACCCCAGAATTGAGGGTTCCAGCCCTCCCTAGCTCCAGATTGTCCCTCTGTATGTCCTACCAGTAAGGGAGTTGGACCACTGGGAGGATACAAAGATAAAGCGCAAAAAACCAACCAAACAAACAAAAAACCTGGCTACTGTTTTCTCATTGGTTCTGCAGGAAAGGCTTATCCAAACCCAGTAGCCTTCTAGAAGGCTAACTAGATAATTCTTTTTTGTGTCCCTAACCCTTAGTAAACAGAAGTACAGCAGAGCTACTTTCTTGTGGGAGGCCATTAAGAGAAAAACCCAGACGTCTGTTCATTGGACTGGAGGTAGATTGAGGAGTCTTGGTAGGTTATTTGTGGGGGAGGGTTCCCATAACCCCGATGACACTGCAGCTCTGTCTGCCTCTTAGAAGCCACGCTTGTCTCCTTCCTCTGTGCTTAATATGGTCAGATGCGTTGTGTACGTTTTCTAATTACCATTTGAGCATTTTATGTGAATCTGAGTGTTTCTGATTGGGGCCGGTATGGACATGGGAGTGACGGGGGAGCCTGCAGTTGTTTTTGTCATGGCTAATCCCACTAATTTCTTTTTGGTGCTTTTGGTCTACACTCCTATTTTCCCTTTTTAAAAAAGCTGATTTCTGATGGTGGGTGTGACTGGAGAAAGGCAGGGCTAAACACTATGCCTAGTGTTTCTGAATCCTGTCTTTACAGTCAGGTTTTTCTTGTCTTTTGCATCTCACCCCCACTTATTACAGTTGCTTTCAAAATTCTTTTCTTGGTTTTTAATAGAAACTACCAGAGTCTGTTCCTTCACTAGGCCCCAAGTCCATTTCATCCCATGCCATTATGACTGCTACTCTCAGACCCCAAAGAGATTTGACTTTGAGGATACAGAAGCCCATGAGGAAGGCATAGGAATGATGGGGAACATGGTTAGTTTTGTGTTCTCAACCAAAGAATTTGAAGAGCTGCCCAGTCTGGGAAGCCCACTGGCTCAGAGAAGGTAACTGCCCTCATCAGGAATAAACAGGGGTGGGAGATGATAGTATTTGCACTGAGGCAGAAGACCAGACTTTGCTGCTCACCTCTGGTTAGGCCACCACCACCCTATTCCCTTCCTCCTCCTACCTACCTTGCAAGTAGGTAAGCTTCATTCACCTTTCTCCATTCTCCAGTGTCTTCAGGGCTCATTTGCTGTGACTACATCAAGTCGCTGAAGCCAAGACCTAAATCTGGGCTGTTGCCCCACCAGAAGCATGGTGAGAGCCCCTGCTGATGTTGCATGGGTCTTTGGCAGTGGCTTCTAGAAAAGACTATTGCAAACCGAATATAGTGGCATCCTTTGATAATCCCAGCATGCTGGGAGGCAGACAGGACAACTTCAAGGCCAGCCTAAGCTACTACACAGGAGAGAGAGTCTCATCAACAACAAAGAACCAGTGTTGCTCCTCAACAGGAGCCCACCTTATGGGAACACGGCAGCATAGCTCCTATCAGGACAGCAGCATTATCAGTTTGCATTCCTTAGCCAAGAGCAACACTTGGATGGGTAGTCAGGTCCAAACTGGCCCTATCTTCTTCCAGGCCTCGAATAGTGCACGTCAGAGAAACAGGCGGGAGTCATCCTAGCCTGTCTATAGGTCCTATAGTTTTGTGCCTTGTTACATGAATTCTTCCTGATTGCCTTTAAAATCAGCTACTCCATTTCGAGACAGCTTGCCTTAGGTCTTTGCAAGCATTAGCAGACTCCAGTTTACTCAGCTGTTCACCCCCCCCCCTCCAGTTTTCCCTCAGCAGCTAAAACTAGCCTGCAGCTCTCTTCCTTCACATGAGGAAGCTGGGTGCTCTCATCACCTGTGACCACTGCTTTGTCCTGCCTATCCAATAAGCATGTCCAACAAGCCCATCCCCAAACTTCCTCATCCTTGTTACTTATCTACCTCAACCTCACAATTCAACAAGGACACCAACACCTGACTTATATTGCATCTTGTCCTTGTCTTCATGAGGGTTAGGAAGCTGGGGCTAGAAAGGGCGCATCAACAAATGCAGACTCTCCTAATGGTTGTTTCTGGGATGTCTTCTCTGGGTATTTTTGGCTCACTGACCGTCCTAGACGAGTGTAAACCCCAGACAGGTCTATTTGGTAGGACCTATCTGTGGCAGGCCATGGGGAGACTTGAGTGGTGACCACTTAGGATAACAATGGTTGGTTACCCCAGACTACCACAATCAGAGCAGAGCTTAGAATTTAGGAGAATTCATTAGTGGGGCTACCAAATGAGAAGGTAAGCAAGCACCAAAGAGGGAGTTAGTAATTTTAGTTAGTGCTGGAAGCAGATGCTCCTTCTCTACCTCAACTCCATTTGTCTACAGGGTTGAGGAATTGCTGCCAGCCTAGAGGGAGATGAGATTCTCAACTTTTCCAGCCTGACCAACCCCCCTCTCCCCTCCCCATCGCTGGTGTTGACTCTCTTAACACATACCCTTTTTGTCCACATTGAGTGGGTGGATCCTCTGTTGTGTGCACTTATCACCTGGAGAAGAAATGAGTTTAATTTATACTTAAAACACATTTTGTACGTGTTTTTCCTTATGCAGAGACCTCTAGTTTTATACTCTTCCCATGTTTAGGCCAATACCACCTTTCTAGCTTTTTCCCTTTTCTGACCCTTTGTCTTTTCCTGTAACCTATAACTTGGTAAGAGCTTCATTTTGGCTTTTTTAAATAAAACATAAAATCCAGAGTGTTGGTGTATTTTCTTTCTTTTTCTCAAGTCAGTCCTGGGGCTTGAACTTAGGCCTTGGGCACTCTCCCTGAGCCCTTTGTGCTCAAGGCTAGCTACCACTTGAGCCACATCTCCCACTATGTTTTCTGGTGGTTAATTGGAGATTAAGAGCCTCATGGACTTTTCTGCCCAGGCTGGCTTCATATTGTGCTCCTCAGAGATCAGCTTGAGTAGCTAGGATTACATGTGAGCCACTAGCTCCTGGCTTGGTGATGGGCCTGTATTTGCTACCCTAGGAACCCAGGGGCAGCTTGGGAGGAGAAGACTCTGCATACAAGGAGGCAGGGACCAACACACTGACTCTCATTTTGCCCTGCACCTCAAAGACTTTCCAACAGGACCCTAGAGCCACAAGGGCACGGGTAGGGAACGAAGTGTACAGAATTCTGCCTAGGCTGAGAGGTAAACCTGTCTCTCATACCAAGCCAGTCATATCGATCAACATCCAGTCAGCCCCTTAGGTATGTGTGAGAGTCAATGCTGAAAGGAACAAAGACACAGAGTCCTTTGAATCTCTATCAAATGTGGTTTTTATTCAACTGACAAGCACTTTTCTACAGCTGCACTTGTGGAACATCACATGGCAAAAACAGGTTGTTTTTTTTCTCTAGGCTTTTTTTTTCCTTTTTTAAACCTTATTAAAAATGAGATTGGTCCTAAAAATATAGAAAGAAATAAATTTAAATTCACAAAAAACTGTACATTATCAAAAAGTCACTAAAACACCACATTTGGTTATATAAAAAGTCAGTCCCTTTTGTTGTAAAAGGAACATTGAAACTTGGTGTTGATGGTGTGGTTTTTTTTTAAGCTGTTACCAGACTAATGGGGAGGGAAACAGAGGGGCTGGGGGTGGGCTGTCCTTTTACCTTAACCTGCCTTCCTTAGCAAATACACAATATGGAAAATCCACCTAACTCCAGGGGGCAGTGAGGATGAGGAAAAAAATGGCTCCTCTGATCATGCCTTATCCCCACACCCTCTGCAGCCCTGACTTCTTCAAACTGAGTCTAGGACTCCACCCCATTTTAAGAGTGCCTGGTCCCTAAGGAGAGATGGAGCCGGGAGAGGAACACAAAGCAGGAACAACTGAGACTTCACTCCCTGTCTCCACCTCACCGCCAACCATGAATTACTCTAGTAGGACATTTTAGGCCAGGAAAATTGCCATGGGGAGAAAAGTGGAGCCCCCAACTATAACAGTTCCAAACATCTAACACAAAATTTGTTACGGCGCAGTTATTTAGATAAAATATAAATATTTATGCATAATATAAAGTCAATTCAAATATTCTTCAATCCACCTCTTATTTAAAAGCAAAAAAAAATCTCAAATAAAATTAAAAGTTTTGAGGTTTATCTGACAGAAAAGGCGACTTTAGAAATAGGCTATGGGGGGAGAAGGGACATAAAGGATAAAGGGACTGCCCAGGACCTACACTGCCCCACCCCCTCAGTGCTGCCATAAGTATAAGGAACGCTCCATCTTGCCTGGTGCCCCCCCCCCCCAATGGAACATTTCTTGGATGCCTCAGCTCTCTGCTTAGGCCAGCCAGCAGCCACCTCCCCAGTGCAAGTACCCGTAATCTCTAATGGAAGGGGCTCTGCTGAGCAGGAAAGCAGGGGGCCAGAGGCCCATGGCTATAGTTTGGAGTTAGCAGCTTTCCTCTCACATATTGGGGGCTTACTTTGGGCACAGTCACACATAGGGCAGTTGTGGACCCAAAACCCCTCCTCCCAGCCTCTCCTGTCCTCCAGGGTCTCTGCTGCTAGGGAAGGGGTATGGGCTATGAAGTAGATGAAGAAAACACAACTAAACCCATGGATGGTCATGGGTTAGGAAAGATCCAGTTCTACCCTTCTCCCTGCAAAAGCTTCAGACTCAAAGCTACTGAGAGGAGAGGGAGTTCCTGCTGAAAGATTGCACAGTTTGAAGAGGATGGAAGAGAAATGACCAGGAGAGAGGAGAGAGACAGCCTTGTCCCCAGACAAAGAGTTCCTGTGGTTTCCCAAAGATAAAAGTATTAGTATGCAACAATAGGAAAGGTGGGAATAGAAACAGACACTTGGGGAGACTGAATGGATCCTATCAAACAAAACAGGGTCACTCACACTTGCTTGCTCACTCTATCTTGGGTGTCTAGCTCTCTCTCTCTCTCACACACACACACACACACACACTTTTACATGCACACATACGTGCAAACACAATGCCTTTCTCTCTTCCTTTCTCTGAGGCCAGTCAATTGCTACTTGGCCTCCACTTCGGAGGTGCACCCCAACTCAGCAGTAGTTGTCCCTGAGGAGTTCCCAAGAGGGAGATTTGGGAAGGAGGCTGGAAGGCTCAGGGTGCCTGCCTGCCCTCTCCCCAGCCACTGAGTTTCAGAAAAGGCTGGAAACTCAGCATGTGAGGAGGATACAACATTTTAGAAGGATAGTTATTGGCAGGAAGATGAGGACAGAGAAAGACAGGGACCTCTGAACTTTTTTTTTTCTTTTGAAGGAGAAAAAGATTGGGGAGGAAAGAACCCGTACACGATAAGTTTTATATTATTGGATGAGAGAAAAATCTGAAAAATGGGGTGGGAGGAAAGGAAAAAGAAAAAAAAGAGAGAAAGTGAGAAGCAGGGAAGAGACTGAACATGGAAGCAGCATGTTCAGGGCCCGGTGTCCGGCTCGACACACTTGGGAGTTAAGTCCACTTTACTGGCCGTCACTGCGGGTCCGCACACAGTACAGAGTGTTTCTCGGTTTCACACATTCACTAGAACTATTGCTATTGTTAAATAACCCCAGAATGCTGGGGCATGAACAGGGAAGGAGAGGAAGCTGGGAAGAGGAAATAGGGACTTCTTTCCCCTCCCCATTTTTTAATCAGGAAATAAAACAGAAAAGAAAAATTATTTTTCTTTCTTTCTTTTTTGGCTTTCAGTCCAGGAGGACCTCATCTCTGCACCTCTTACTTGAGGAGCAAGAGAGGAAGGGAAAAAAGGGAACTGGGGACAAGAGGACGTGGGTGCTGCCAAGGGCAGGGTCAAAAGTCAGGGCTATTATCTGACTTGAGTCTGGACCCAGGGCAGCATCAGCAGGTGAGAATGGCAGGTTTTTCTGTTGGAAGGAGGGGAAAATGCCACACCTCCCTTGCCTCACAGATTGGCCTGTTTTCCCTGATAAAACTCCTCCCAGCGGCTCTCAAAGAAGCGGCGCATGATGTGCCCAGCCTTGCCAACTTCAGAGTCATCCTCATTGAAGGTCTGGCAGTTGTCAAAGACCAAGAGGGCATCAGCTGCAAACTCCTCTGAGCTGGTATACCTGCACAGAGATAGAGGTGGAGGTAGGTGTAAGCACTATGAGGCGCACAATGAAATAGGACTAGAGGAGTGAACTTGCACTTACCCTCCCCGGAGCAGCCGTTCCCGCATGGTGGAGAAATCCATAGGGTTCTTGATGATGCGTCGGTACCCGCTCACCAAGCGTGGGTTCACAGGCTCCAGGAAAGGCCAGGCTGCATCATGGGACTCCATCTCCATCAGGATAATCCTATCAGTACAAGAGTGATGGTCCTATCACTGGGAGCTCACACCTTGACTCTTCCCTGCTACTTTCCTCTGGCAGAGGGAGAGCCAACTATCCCTAGAACTTGCTCAACTCACTCGCAGAACGTAAGATCTCTGTGCTGGCTCCGCATTGAGAATCGCCGCCGCTTGGAAGGAGACACACTAAGTCCTTCTGAGTACCGAGGCACTGCTGGGCTTTCTTGGCCCCTTGATAGTACGCGGCGTCGGCGGCTATCACCCTCTGGAAAGTTCAGCGAAAAACCACTCTTCCGCTTCTGGCCTCGCTTTGGGAAGCCAGGCTTCTGAGTGAATTCTTCCTCTACCTGCTGAGGACAGGAAATGGTGAGATTAGTTCTGGCTGAGGAAGCATGCCTTTGGCTTCTTCGGGAGGCTCTCTTTGCTTAAGGCTAGCAATCTACCACCTGAGCCACAGTGCCACTTCTGGCTTTTTCCGAGTAGTTTTCTGGCAATAAGAGTATCAAGGACACAAATAAAATTAAATTAAAAAAAAAAAAAGAGTATCAAGGATTTTCTTGTCCTGGCTGGCTTTGAGCCATGATCCTCTGATCTCAGCCTCCTGAGAAGCTAGAATTACAGGCGTGAGCCAATGGCACCTAACTTTCTGTTTTGGGTTTTTTTTTGGGGGGAGGCAGTCATGGGGCCTGAACCCTGCACTTGGATGCCGTCCCTCAGCTCCTCAGCTCTAGGCTGGCGCTCTATCACTTGAGCCATAGTGCCACTTCTGACTTTTTCTGCTTATGTGGTGCTGAGGAATTGAACCCAGGGCCTCATGCATGCAAGGCAAGCACTGTACCACTGAGCCACCTTCCCAGCCCTTTTTTCTTTTCTTTTTTTTTTTAAATAGAGGAAGCAAAGACTATAGAATTTAAGTGGCTAAGTACCCTAACACTGTCAAGATCCCATCCCACTGAGACTGAGGGCATGAGACATCTGTAGGTTTGATGCTGAATGAGATGAAAGAAGAAAACTGACTCCAGTTTGGGAAAATGAAAGCCTTACCTGGGCCAAACAGACGGCACAAAACCAATCACCTTCTGGGACAGCCTCCATTTTGGGCCGATGGCAATAAATGTGGCAGCCACGGTCACATCCATCACAAAGCAGAAGAAATTCATCATTGTCACCCTTCCGGCAGACTAGACAGGTCTAGACCAAGGTTGTGGGAGGCAGGATGAGCTCTTAAAGCCTCTCCCTACCAGTGACCCCAACTACCCCAGCCTGCTGGCTCATCAGCCTGTGAGCTCTCCCAGCCTCTTACCACTTTGTTGACAGACTTCTCCCAGGCAATGGACCGCTCCAACTGGCTCATGCACAAGCACACCTGGGCTGCACTCCGGCACCGCTCAAGTGTCTGACGCCAGACACGAACTCGAGGAGTGATCTCATATGATCTACAGAGGGAAAGTGGTTGTAAACCTGGGTTGAGGAGCAAGACCCATTACAGAGAGGAACTTCTTCTTTCTCTCTCCAGGACCTAGAATGTGAGGAGTGGGAGTCACTTACATCTCTGTTGTAGTGCCCTCAGGGGCACCATTGGGTGTGCTGAGCAGGGCCTTCTCCAGCACCACCTCATGGGCTGGCCAGAGAGGCTCCCGCAGGTACCGTCGCTCCACATTCTGTTCCAAGGCAGCCAGTCGCATCACAGCCAGGTCCAGAGGGTTAGTACTTTTTCGCTGAGGTACCAGTCCTTCCTTGATCCGACCTCTCCAGGTGATGTCCTCCTGGGAGTCAGGCAGATGCTCACAGTAGGCCAAATCTTCACGGGTAGAGTCTGGGCTAGGACATGTCCAGCCCTTGTGTGGGAAAGAGGAGCAAAATTCATTGTAGGGCTGGGAATGTGGCTTAGTGGTAGAGTGCTTGCCTAGCATGCATGAAGCCCTGGGTTCCATTCCTCAGTACCACATAAAGAGAAAAAAGCCAGAAGTGGTTTTGAGCACAGAGTGGCTCAGGGACAGTGCCCAGGTCCTGAGTTCAAACCCCAGGACCAGCAAAAAGCAAAACAAAAAACCTCATTGAGAAACCAACAAAAAACCTCCGTCATTTCTAACAGATTTAAGGTGTGTGTGTGTGTGTGTGTGTCCTAGGGCTTGGACTCAAGGACTAGACACTGTTATTTCTAACAGATTTAAGGTATGTGTGTGTGTGTAGGACTAGACACTGGTGTGTATGTGTGTGTGTGTGTGTGTCCTAGGGCTTGGACTCAAGGACTAGACACTGTTATTTCTAACAGATTTAAGGGGTGTGTGTGTGTGTGTGTGTCCGTGTTTAAGGGGTGTGTGTGTGTGTGTGTCCGTGTCCGTCCTAGGGCTTGGACTCAAGGACTAGACACTGTTCCTGAGCCTTTCTGCACAGGGCTGGCTTCCAACTACAATCCTCAGATCTCAGCCTAAGTAGCTAGGATTATAGGCATGAGCCACAAGTACCTGACAGATTTAAAGTTTTAATGACTTCTTCCCATGAACAATTTGCTATCCAGTACCAATTCCTATATACCCGAATTTGCAGATCAGACAGGATAACTCGCTGCTCCAGCTCCTCTACCCACTGAAGCACAGCTAGGTCTGTCTCATATGTCTTCTCTTTGGGGGACCAGCCCATAATCTCTTCTTGAAAGGCAGGTAGCTGGCTGGGCTCAAAGATGGGATCTAAGAGAGAAAGCAGAGGGAGAGGTCCATCAGGTATTATTATAGCAGCAGCTCATCATTTGCCTTGGTCTCCTCAGCTTAGGATGTGTCAAAATTATCTATTTACCAGTTGAGGGCCGTAAGCAGACTTCCTGCAAGAAGTCCCTGTGCTTGTTAAGGTGTTTGTGAAGTGCCTTCTCCCGGATGCCTCGAGGATGGAGAGTCTTAAGTATTGCATCCAATGTCTCAGGATCTCTGATCCACCACCAGCCTGAGCACATCTCTACAAGCAAAGGATATACATGTGGGGTGGGTGGTGAGGGGCAGGCAGGGTGGGAAACTGCTGTGAATCCCACTGCCCACACTGGACACCACTATTACCTAACTCCATTCCACTTAAGATCACTAACCAGGAGGGACAGGCTGGGCTGTCAACTGGGATAGGTATCGGTGCTCCATCTGTTTGAAGAACTTGCTAGGAGGTCTCCCTCTCCGTTTTGGCTGCCCTAGCCCTGTGGGACTCTGTGACATTTCTCCAGAGTCACCTGCTCTCCTCTTAGGGACCACCCCGGGCAAGGGAGTAGAAGAGAACTGCACTGGAAAACAGGGATTGGCAGCACTGAGTCTATTCATCTGTAAATAAGAGAAGACGTAGAAAGAGCACTTGGATATCTTACGTTTTAAATGTTCCCTCAACTTCAGGCTGTAGCCAGGCAATGGAGCCTGTGGCAAATAAAGTACACACACTAATTCTAACTACTTACTGGCTTGGAAAAGGCAGACAGCTGAGGAGAGGAAGTGGGTTGGTCCTCAGAAACTGCAGGGGGTGGCGTAGGGGCAGCATTGCAGGGTATCTGGGCTGAGAAGCTAAACCAGGGTGCTTGAGGATCAGGGCCAGATTCTGTCTCATCAAGCTCTGGCTCCTCTGGGGGTTGTGAAGGGGCTGGGTCTAGTTTTCCTGGGCTGCTATCGGGTGTGAGGACTGAGCTACTTAACAGGGAGCCGTGGCTCTGAGTCTGGCTCAGCCAAGACAGGAAGGCTGACTGGCTAAGGTCATGCTGGCTCTGGCCCAAAGACAAAGGGGAACCTTCTGGCTCCAGAAATCCATTATGGGATTGAGGATTGGACTGAAGCTGGGGCTGGGGAGGAACCAGAAGCTGAGGATGGGACTGAGTCTCTGGCTGAAGCTGGGCCTGAGGTGGTTCTGAATCCTGACCCCTAGCAGAGGACTTAATGTGCCTAGGTTGCATAGAGCCAGGCTTCGTTTTTCGAGGTCGGCCTCGGGTCCGGGCAGGAGAAGCAGCAGGAGTGTTGGAGCCAGGTAACTCCTTCTTCACAGACAAGAGGGCAGGGCTGGATGCTGGATGGGTTGCCACCTTTAGGGAGTCAGTTTCCTGCTTTATCACATCTTCAGGAACTATACAGACAAATAAAAGAGTTTAAGACAGACACTGCCATATAATAGAGGAAAATATTATATAAAGACAAGATATACCCTTTTTCTCTTGGACTTAAGCCCCCTTCTTTTGGAGATAATAACTTATGCCAATGAACACAGTAGGGAATAAACATTGTGCGATCATCATCAGCCATCAGATTTATGACTAAGGATCAACTGCATCTTTCTTTTTGTGAGTTGTGGGACTTGAACTCAGGGACTGGGCATTGTCTCTGAGTCTCTTAGGCTAGTGCTGTACCACTTGGGCCACAGTGCCACTCTAGTTTTTGAGTAGTTAATTGGAGATAAGCGTCTCACAGGGACTTTTCTGCCCAGCCTGGCTTCGAACCATGATCTTAAGATCTCAGCCTCCTGAGTAGGTAGGATTACAGGCCTGAGCTACCAGTGCTCGGCTTCAACTGCATCTTTTGCAGTATTTTTTCTTTGTACTTGTGTTGGTACTAGAGGCTTGAACTCGGAATCTGGGCATAGTCTCTTAGCTTTTTTGCTCAAGGCTGATGTTCTATCACTTAAGCCACAGCTCTACTTCCAGCTTTTTTGGTGGTTAACTGTAGATAAGAGTCTCTGGACTTTTCTACCTGGCTAGCTTGCAACAGAGATCCTCACATGTCAGCCTCAAGTGGCTAGGATTATAGACATGGTCCACTGTGATGCATGACCTTTTTCTTTTTCCTCTCTCTCTCAACATTGCTTCACTATATAGCCCAGGCTGGACTTAAACTAACAATCCTCCTGCCTCAAATTCCTTAGTGGTAGGATTACCACCATGTCCAACTTAGCACAGTGCTAGTCAGATCCAGGGCCTCATTCTGTGCTTACCACTCCCCAGCTCTGTTAAGCAGTACTGTAATTAGAAATATTAACACTTTAATCATCTTAATAGTCTTATAAAGTATGTATACCTCATTTACAAATGAAAAAACAAGAATACAACTGGTAAGTGGCAACACAGGTATTTAGGCAGTCTTACTCTAGATTAATTTTTTGTCTTTCTAGTCATGGAAATTGACCCAACAAGCCTTGAGCCTGTCAGGCCTCAGTAGTAGTCCCCAGCAGCTGTCTGTGCTCTTAGCCACTGCTACACTAACTTTCATAAAAATGAAAGAAGCCCAAGATCACTAAGTAGAATAAAAGGAATATTTGTGTTAGGATTCAGAATTGAAGCTTACACACACACACACACACACACACACACACACACATACATACCTAAGCTCCCCTCAGATCCTTCCACAAAGATTCCAGCCAAATATGGCAATACCCAGTAACGGCGTCTGTAACGGTCTTGACCCAAGGAGACTGCCCGTAGCATCTGAGATGAGTATAGCAGCTTTTTGCGAAAGAAGAGCTGACGCTGGGTAAGCAGAAGGAAATAAAAGATAAATAAAAAACATTTCCAGACAGTAGTGAGTTCAGCTGGTGTATGGGAGTTTCCCTATACAATGGATACCATTGAAGGTGATTAATTCTTGCCCAGCCCACACTTTTAGCTCCCAGGGTTGGAATTATAGTACCTTACTGAGTTTTTCTATCTGACGCTCTAACTCCGGAATGCTAGATGATATAGCATCAACCTGGATAGAGACAAGTGGGAAAAAAAAAAAAGAGAAGATACTAGAGTCAAGAAAGAGCATTATTTACTTCCTAACTTCCACTTTCCTTAGTTTTGGGCTAGCACCTCTCCATCTCTTCGACTTTTACGGCCATGGACAACTGTTATAGCCTCTTCTTCTTCCTCTTCTTCCATGCCGCTAGTTTCTTCCATGATCCGAGAACTGCGCCTGCGTCCCAGACCTTCCTCTGACCCTTCCATCTCTACCTCAGGTCGCCCAGTTCGTTTGGCCAGAGCAGTTTTCAGTCTTGAAATAGATAAAGGGATAAAGGTCTCTGTGGTGAGGAAAATGATGATGCCAAGAGACATCTTGACCCCCTGGTTAGCTCCTAAAACCCAGGGAAAGGCAGTACTGGCTATGCTTCACCCTTTTCCCTTTTCTCCTCTTTGAGTTCAACTCTGTCTTGTTCTTACCTCCGGAGCCGGCCTTCAACAATCCACTTGTTTTTCCTATAGCTGGACATACTCTCCAGAGTCTTGTCAATCTCACTGCAAAGGTACAAGGAATAGAATTTTTGAGAAGTAGAAGCAGAAAAAAAAAGAGGGGGGACACTTTTAGGGTAAATGGGGCTGCAGAGTTCAGCCTAGAATTTAGACTGGATGAATAGTAGAGGCAAGCTTAAGCTCCTCCAGAAATGGCACCAAGATTTAGTTCCAAATCACTCCTGCACATCACCCAGGACTTCTGGCTGGCTAACACCCTACCCCACCCCACCCCACCAGGCAAGGGATAACTATCCCCACCCCTTACTTGATGATGAGGGTGGAGCCATTGAGCTCATGCACAAGGAAGGCCAGAACGGCAGCTTTCTGTTGAGGTGGCTGGGCCTGAAAAGGCTGGGTGCGCAGGCTGTCACAGAAGGTTGGCTCCACTCCATATGCCATGAGGAAGCAGCGCAGAATCTCAGACACATTGTCTCTTGTCAAAGGGATCTCAGACACCTTCTCTCCCAAGATCTTTAGGGACTATTTAAAAGAGAACATAATGGGAATGAGAAGGGAAAGGGGCCCAAGTCAAATTGGGTGGATCTGGGAGATAACTACAGGGTAAAAACAGGACTTGGGAAAATAATGAAAATCAGTGCAACAAGATCAAAGCATCAAAAGTCAAAGTAGTACATGGAAAAAAAAAAAGAAAGAAAGAAAATACAAACAGGAAGAAGCCATATTTCCTTCACTTCTCCAGATCATTCTGCATCCCAAACCCTCCCAGCCTGCCTAGCAAGTGAAGCTAACCTGACAGTAGGAGGGCAAGCCAGGATCATGGAGTGCAGCCTTCAGGAGTCTCACCAGCAAGTCTTGAACCTTGCCCAAGCTGTCGCCTTGACACAAGAGTCCCTCCTGCAGGACCCCCAGGCTAGGTACATCTTTGGTAGGGTCAAAGCCCAGCACCTTGCCAAAACTATGCAGGAACTCCACAACAGTCAAGCAGTCTGAGAAGGCCCTACTGGGCAATGTCAAACCAGGGATGCGTGTGAAGTCAGGCAGAGGCTGGGGGGATAAATAGGGTGTCCTGTTAGACATACCAGAGGCAGTAATTTGGATGTTCAGAGGATCTTCCTTTAAAAAGTATTCTTAGAATAGCCCCTCCATGACCCAGGAACGATTACTTTCCCATCCCTACCTGGTGGTCAGCCAGACACATATCTTCAGTGGGCTTCTTCATCTCCTCCAAGATCACCTGTTGCCTCTGTCGTTCCTCCAGGCGCTTCTGTGTGGCCAGGGTCTTATCTGCTTTACAAGCTGGCTTCGCTTTGGCCACCCCCTCCTTTTCCTTCATTTTTACCTTCTCTTTCTTTTCCCTCTTCACTTTTTCCTTCAGCTTTTCCTGCTTTACCTTTATCTTTTCCTTCTCAGCCTATCCGCCCAGGGTAAAGAGGAATAGGAGTGTCATAAAGATACTATTCATCACCCTTCCCTGATTTCAGTCCCTTCCAAATTCAGAAACCAGAAAAGTAACTGAACATGAGACTGGCATATGTGTATCTCGGAAAATCAGTTTGATGACTTCAAACTGGAAGATGGGAATGCACTTCAGTGGGACTGCATTAGTCTATCATAAGCAAAGCCAGTGTTCAATCCTAAGCACTGGGGAGGAAAAATTAAGACTTTGCAAATGCATACATGAACCTACCTTAAATTTCTTCTTAGTGTCCTTTTGCTTTAAGTTCTTGGTATCTTGTTTCCGCTTGTTTCTGGCCTGAAAAACCATAAGGGAAGTCATTTCTCCTCAAATTCTGAAAGCATCTTTGCTTGGACTAGAAGTCAAGAACAGTCAAGAGTGCTGGGGAGGAGAGGTGAGAGATGGGATCATGAGGGGCTGGCAATGGATCAATTCTCTAATCCTAGAGATGCCTACATTATTTGTGAACAAGCCAAGTTCTCAAAAATCAAACCCAAGTACAAGATAATGAAATGTGTGCTGCTACATGGGGGAAGGTGGGGAAAAAATATGAAGGTTATAGGAAAAGTTGAAACATTGATATCCCTTACCTGCCCTTGGATAGGAGTCTGACACTCTCCCCGTTGTACCTTCTGCCTCATCTTCTTTTTGCTTTTACTCATCTTTGTTTTATCTTCCTCATTTGTTGTTTCTGTGAAGGAAGAAAAAATGAGAGAGATAGGGCTGGGCACTGGTGGCTCACACCTACACCCTATACCTAGCTACTCAGAAGGTTGAGATCTAAGAATTTCAGCCCAAAGCCAGCCTAAACAGAAAACTCCTAAGACTATTATCTCCAATTAATCATCAAAAAGCCAGAAGCAGATGTGTAGCTCAACTGGTAAAGTGCTAGCCTTGAATGAAAAAAAAAGCCAAGCAAGATCATGAAGTTCTGATTCATGAAGCTTCAGTATTGGCACAAAGAGAGAAAGAAAGAAGAAAGCTGATGCTTGGTATCCTAACAGGTAGCATATACCTGTTACAAAGCTGGCTTCTCAAGCACCTCTCTAAATCATCTACTCTTATATCCAATAAACCACTAGAAAACCAGAAGTGGCGCTGTGGCTCAAGCAGTAGAGCACTCGCCTTGAACTGAAGACAGCAGGCACAGCGCCCAAGGAGAGTTCAAGCCCCATGGCCGACAAAAAAAAAAAAAGGAACTGAAATGGTATGTTTTGCCCAGAAACAGCAGCCCCTGGCTCCAACTAGACTATTTTGGAAGTAGTCCAACTGATGGAAAAGAGGCAATGACAGGGTATCATTTCAGCCTGTCTCCTTCCTAGGCTACCTGACAAGGGTATGAATACACAAACTGATTTAATGGAGAAGGCGCTGAGAAGGCTAACAGCCAAACTGTCTGGGAAAGAGGATAATAACTGGTAGCACTGGCTAAACACTTAAGACCAACAGTAAGATCAACACCGACATAACTGTTGCTATGCTCAGCTTGCATGGCTCCTTCCATTTAAAAAACAAACACCAAAAAAACCTGAATTTCTTCAGTAAGACTGAATATTAAAGTGTTACTCTATAAACAGGGTGTATTTTGTAACCATTTTTTGACATGGCAGTACCTATATATTTTTGCTTCTGACAAATACCTTCTTTTTTTTTTTTTGGGTGGGGGGTCCAGTCATGGGGTCTGAACTCTGGGCTTGGGCGCTGTCCCTCAGCTCTTCAGCTCAAGACTAGCACTCTACCACTTGAGCCACAGCACCACTTCTGGCTTTTTTTTTCCTGGTTATGTGGTGCTGAGGAATTGAACCCAGGGCCTCATGCATGCAAGGCAAGCAATCTACCACTGAGCCACCTTCCCAGCTCCAATACAATACATTTTTATGGCAACTGTCTAAGGTATCTTGGGCAGATCAATCACTTAATGCTTCTATTAAAATGAAACTTGTTTGCCTTGTATGTCCCTCCCCCATGGTACAACCCCTGCTTTCACTATATATGATGTTGGTATATGTGGAGGGGAAGGGAAAAAACAAATTATAAAAACGGATACAGGAGGACCCATTGCAACAATGAGATGTACAAGTCGTTATGTCAAAAAACAAACTTTACAACTTTGGTGTGGAGGGACGGGAGTGGGGGAGGCTGGGAAGGGACGGGAAGGGGAGAAACAAAGCAGGAGGCTACAATGCTTGATAAGAAATGTGTTCATGGGGCTGGGAAGATGGCTCAGTGGTAGAGTGCTTGCCTGCATGCATGAGGCCCTGGGTTCAATTCCCCAGTACTACATAAACAAAGAAAAAAGCCGGAAGTGGTACTGTGGCTCAAGTGGTAGAGCGCTAGCCTTGAGCTGAAGAGCTGAGGGACAGCGCCCAGGCCCTGAGTTCAGGCCCCACAACCGGACCCCCCCCCCCCAAAAAAAAAGAAAGAAATGTGTTCATGGGCTGGGAAGGTGGCTCAGTGGTAGGGGCTTGCCTTGCATGCCTGAGGCCCTGGGTTTGATTCCTCAGCACCACATAAGAAAAAAAAGCTGGAAGTGGCACTATGGCTCAAGTGGTAGAGTGCTTGCTAGCCTTGAGCTGAAGAGCTGAGGGACAGCACTCAGGCCCCACGACCGGACCCAAAAAAAAAAAAAAAAAGGAAATGTGTTCATTATCTTAACCACATAATTGTAACCCCTTTGTACATTATTTTCACAATAAAAATATATTAAAAAAATAAAAAATAAAATGAAACTTGTTCTAAGACTTACAGTAAGAAAATTGTAGAGTCAAACTCTGAATGGGAATCAGAAGATTAAATTTTTCACACTATTCCAGAATAAAGGAATATTTAACAACAAAAAAAAAAAGACATTTCTTACCTATTTTTTTTTTACCTGTCTATCCCACTAAGATAGTATTTTTTTGAATCTCCACAGTATTTAGAATCTCCATAACAGTGGTAATTAGCAGGGAAAAAATATACAAAAATATATCACATGCTGGTGGCTCATGCCTGTAACCCTAGCTACTCAGGAAGCTGAGATCTGAGGATCACAGTTCAAAGCCAGCCCGGGCAGAAAGTCCCTGAGACTCTTTGTTTGGTTTTTGTTTTTTTTAAACTGTATTTTTTTTTGTCTTTTCTTTTTTGGTACTGGGGATTGAACCCAGGATGTTGTACTTGCTAGGCAAGCGCTTTGCCACTGAGCTACATCCCAGCCCCCATGAGACTCTTATCTCCAATAAACCACCAGAAAACTGGAAGTGGCACAGTGGCCCAAGTGGTAAAGCACTAGCCTTGAGCTGAAGAGCCGAGTGAGGGACAGCTGCCAGGCCCAGAGTTCAGGTCCCACAACCAACAACAACAAAAAGTGGTGTGTGTGTGTGTGTGTGTGCACACACAACTGAGTTCAGTGTAAGAAAGGGCATATTAAAGTCCTATTCCCTAGAAAAGAAGTACAAAAATTTCTGGGGGGAAAAAAATTTTTTTCTGGGAGCTTGTGGCTTATGCCTGTCATCTTTAGGAAGCCAAGATTTGAGGATTCCAGTTTCAAGTCAGTTCAGGCAGATAAATTGTCTCCAATTAACCAGTAAAAAAAAAAAAAAAAAAAGTGGAGATGTGGCTCAAGTGGTACAGCATCAGCCTCAAGCAAACAAAAGGTAAGGGAGAACACAAGGCCCTGAGTTCAAGCCCCATTACACTTACACACACACACACACGCATGTGTGCACGCATACACACAGTGACAAAGTACCGGGACTCTGATACTGCGAAAGAAAAACTGATGCAGAATTATTCTGTCCAGATACCAGCCACACTCTCAGGAAACTCAGATCGTTAGCAAGTTGGCAACTTTTCAGATACTTCATGGAAGAAGCCTTTCAAAAAAAAGAAAAACCACCATACCTTGAACCTCCAATTTCTTTAGGAGGCGGTTGTCTGTCTTACTCAAAAGCTCAGGGATTTTGACTTTAGGTGGTCGACCTCGGCCACGTTTCACCTTGGAGACTTCCTTGGTTTTAGCCTTCTCATTATTTCGAGGTCGGCCCCGTTTGCCAGTAATTGCTTGAATCCTGGATGGAATCTCTTCTGCTGAGAGTTGTACCCACTGCAAGCCCTAAAGTAGTAAGGAAGACTGTGTTACAATAGGAGAGAATGGTTGCAGGCTTTAAGCCCTCTGAACTATTTCAGACCACCAGAATCTCCACAACCCCATGGAAAGGAAACTCCAACTTGCTCAATAACTCTTTCTCAGAGACTAAACCATAGTTAGCCCTTGGACCAGCACCTCTGATGTCTCTCTCTCTTCAAAGAAATCTCCAACAGGCATACGAGGACTGAAGCTGAAGTGTTCACGACGGACACCATGTACCACATTGCGACTCAGGTACTGAGAAAGAAAGAGGTAAAGCAGCATTAATACAGTTGTAGCTCTACCATGGCTTTGGCCACCAATGGCACAAACCAAACAGGCTTCTAAACAATACCATCTTGATGTCATAGGGGCTAAGAAAGGAGTCTTCCTTTCAAAACAAACCATACTGAAATTACCTTGATAACTTCTGGAAATTGTTTCATCCTCTTCCCACAGGGGCCATAATACCATGTCTCCCCTTGCCATCGGTGGCTTCCCTTCTTGATACGCACCTCTCGCCGCCACCTGCCAGAGAAGCACATGGGCCCTGCCACCAGGTCACACCCCTACCCACTTCCACTCCACCCAAGAGTCAAACAAGACCCTCCAGAATCTATCTTGTGTGCCAATATTGAGGTTTGACTGTGGGGGCTCACTATCATTCAGCCTACTTGCTCAGCTGGTGTTTTACCACTTAAGCTTGATATAGAAGAGTGGATGACCTCTAGCCATCTATCTTAGAATTTTGCAGATGCAAAAGCAGCATGAACTCTTGCACATACCTCAAGACTCTTGGGAAGAAAGCAATACACTATGGATAGACCAGAAAAACCTCTACATCTTCTTTCTGGTTTTTTTTTTTTTTTTTGGGGGGGGGTCGGTTGTGGGGCCTGAACTCTGGGCTGGGCACTGTCCCTCAGCTCTTCAGCACAAGGCTAGCACTCTACCACTTGAGCCGCAGCTCCACTTCTGGCTTTTTTTTCCTGCTTATGTGGTGCTGAGGAATCGAACCCAGGGCCTCAGGCATGCGAGGCAAGCGCTCTACCACTGAGCCATCTTCCCAGCCCTCTATGTCTTCTTTCTATAGTCACTAAGATGAGCAGCCAGAAACCCCTCCCTAGTGGCATTCAGGGTAATTACCAAGTTTCCAATAAAGAGGAAATACCTCAGGGAATAAAGATAGAAAACAGCATTGGGAAGACAAGTAGACGTCAACTTGCTGTTGACTCCATGAAATGACTCAGTTGACTAGGGTTCAGGAACTCTTTATGTTTTGAGCAACAAAATATCTGAGACTAAGCCTTTTCTTTTTGTTAAACTAAGTAGTACTCATTAGACTTGGTGACCACAAATAGATCCAGGAAGACAGTTATTCCCAGAAGACCCTTGGTGTTAGCTGGCATTCAGTCAAGTTACTGTTCCAGGTTTAACTCTCTGAAGAACATTAAAACAAAAACTACCAGGGACTGGGAATGTAGCTTAGTGGTAGAGTGCTTGCCTAGCACACATGTAGTCACGGCTTAAATCCCTCAGTACCACATAAACAGAAAAAGTCACAAGTGGTGTTGTGGCTCAAGTAGTAGAGTGCTAAATAAGCCTTGAGCACAGAGAGGCTGAGGGATCAGAGCTCAGGCCCTGAGTTCAAGCCCCAGGACTGGCAAAAACCAAAACTGGGAATGTGGCTTAGTGGTAGAGTGCTTATCTAGCATGCATGAAGCCTTGGTTTCGATTCCTCAGTACCACACAAACAGAAAAAGCCAGAAGGGGTGCTGTGGCAAGTGATAGAGTGCTAACCTTGAGCAGAAGCTCAGGGACAGCACCCAAGCCCTGAGTTTAAGCCCCAGGACTGGCCAAAACACACACACACACACAACTACCTCATCAAAAACCACCCCAATTCATTGATCATATAAGTTACTCTCTATTCATTACTATCCCATCTCTATGAAAACAGGACATGCCAGGTAGTTTGGATATCTGAGCCCTGGAAAAGATCCAAGCTGGAGCCCCTTGAGTTACCACAAGAAGAGGAAAGAACAGGTAAGAGATGATAGACCTTAAGAGGGAAAACGTAAGAATCTCATGCATGCCTAGGAACACTATTATTATAGATAATTGTCCTATTATCTACTCCCTCTAGGCCTTAGATAAAGAATAACTTCCTTCTTCAAGATCAATGCATGTAGCAATCTGGAGCATTTACCCATGTTGGAGGGGAAGACGGACTTCTTCTGGAGTGGCAATACGTCTCCTCAGAACATCACCTTGGGAGGAAGATGGGACATCCAAGTTAAAAAGTTCAAGCAAGACAGGCGTTGGTTGCTCATGCCTGTAATCCTAGATACTCAGGAGGCTGAGATCTGAGGATCACGGTTTGAAGCCAGTCTGGATAGGAAAATTGATGAGACTTTTTTTTTGGGGGTCCGGTAGTGGGGGTCTGAACTCTGGGCCTGGACGCTGTCCCTCAGCTCTTCAGCTCAAGGCTAGAGCTCTACCACTTGAGCCACAGCGCTACTTCCGGCTTTTTTCTTATGTGGTGCTGAGGAATCAAACCCAGGGCCTCATGCATGCAAGGCAAGCGCTCTACCACCGAGCCACCTTCCCAGCCCCTTGATGAGACTTTTATCTCTAATAAATTACCAAAAAAGCCAGAAGCTGAGCTATGGCTCAAGTGGTAGAACTCAGGAACAATGCTCGGGCCCTGAGTTCAAGTCCTAGGACTGGGGGGAAAAAAGTTCAAGCAAACTAACAGGCTAGTAGGAAAGGGCTGGAGGCCCCAAGAGACATAAACTTCTAGGGACCAGGCAGGGATAGACATTGTGGATACTCACTGCTACCAGAAGTTTTGACTCCTTCGGAGATCTCTTCCAGATCAGCAGCAGCTTCAGGGAAGGTGTGGGCATCTTTGTCTGCTGGAGAGGCTGCTGGGAAGGCAGCTGCTGGAGAAGTTACAGGGGAGGCTTGTGGGAAGGCTACTGGAGCTATAAAGGAGGCTTCTGCAGAGACTGCCGGGAGGATTGTTGAGGAAGTGGTAGAGACTGTTGGGAAGACTGCCGGAGAGGTGAGATGGGGAGAAGCTTCTGGAGAAAGTGCTGGGGAAACTTCTGGCGAGATTTTGGAGGAGGCTGTTGGTGAGACTGCTGGATGTAATTGAAGAGTGGATGACTGGTCAGGGGCTGGCTGGGTTAGGGGTGGAGGGAAGTCTGAAGCCTGAGTCTCCATTTCTTCTTGTTCAGCATCACTGCCATTATTCATGTCAAAGCTGTTATCTGGAATTACAAGGAAACAGGGTGGGTAAAGAAGACATAGAAGATAGTCTATACTCAGTTAAGCCTAGACACTAAGCTAAACAGTGTTAGTTCAAGGGCTTTTCCTAAGAGGACTGCAAAAAGCAAGAGCTCTGGCTCCCCCTCCTCAGCCATTTATGACAGTTAAAGAGCAAAGCTGCTGTTGCTGCTGGCATCTTGCATAAAGAAGTATCTTTTACCTGAAGCCACAAAGGCCTCAGCCTCCTTTTCCTTGCAAACTCCAAGTCTTACAAGTTCTTCTGGACTGAGGATATAGGTCAGAATACAGTAGCCTGTGGCTTTCTTAGACCCACTGAACACTATCCTATAGTCCTCTCACTCAGCTCCCAATAAGGTGCTCTTACAGATTCCCCACTCCTAACACCCTAACTATGGACTTTATTCTCCCACTGTTTTTACAGCACAAGGACTTCATTTACCTCTCCTCCCTTACCTTGCAGGACAGACTCCCCTAAGACAGGTGGAGAGGTGGGGCTGGCAAAGATAGAGGCTGATGTTTGACTCTCATCTGCTAGGAGACTGAAGGCAGTAGCATTATTGAGGGATGGGCAATCTAGGGCAGAGATCACAGGGTTGTCTTCAAGAGGCAGCTTGTCCTCTGCTCCTATCAGCTCTGTGTCATCTATACCATAAAGTCCTCCACTCACTGGCTCTGTATACAGAAGTGAGAGGAAAAAAAAATCAGAAAGCAGGACATTGAGGAAAACTCAGCATGCAAGATTTCCTCATGAAACAATGCTAAAAATATCTAATTCTAGTTGCACACTGTGAAACCTGTTTTGGTTTTTTTTTTTTTTTTACCAGTCCTGGGGCTTGAACTCAGGGTTGAGCTGTACCTGAGCTTTTGTGCTCAAGGATAACATTCTACTGCTTGAACCATAGCTCCACTTTTGGCTTTTTGATGGTTAATTGGAGATAAGAGTCTCATGGGAATTTCCTGCCCCAAACTGGCTTCAAACTATGATCTTCAGATCTCAGTCTCCTGAGTAGCTACCACTGGTATCTTTTGCTATATAGTCCAGGCTGACTTTGAACTGTCTCAGGCTCCTGAGCACTGGGATTACAGGCACATGCCACTTCACCCATCTTGACTCTTCTTTTAAGTAGTCACACAAAGAGGTTTCAACAAGCCTTCTTAATTCTTTTTAATATTAGAGAAAATTTCAGCCCTCTGAAAGAGCAAAATCATGAGACTATGAAAATAAAGGGAAAAACAGTATGTATCTATTCTATCTTTTAATGATCTTTCTCATACTTCAGTGAGATAAAAGGTTATTGTTCACTAGCAAATATCTTCTTTTTAGCACCCAAATAGGCCAAACTGTGGAGTAGTTAAGTCCCTATTCAACGAATTATTACAGTCCAGGATTCTTGGCCTCAAATGGAACTCTGGGAAAGAACCTGGGAAATAAACCAACTCAGCTCAGAGTGTAGTTGACCCAGCCAAACCAGGGGCATGTAACTGCTCTGTTACAAGATTATCAGGAAGCCCTAACATCCCAAATTCCCTCTTTCCCTCTTTTACTACCTCTTCCAAGTAGTAGCTACCTTCTGCCTAGACAAATGCAAGGGATCTAGCCTCCAATTCACCTGGTGCCAGAGAGTCAAAGGGCTCAAGAGAATCTTCACTGAGTATTGGAGTGTCTTCCAGTTGATCAGGAAGATGTGAAGGATCATCTAAACAGCTCACTGTGGGATCAGGAACCAGAACTGAGACCTCTTGGTGTAATGATTCCACAGAAGGAACAGAGCCATTGTAGCCACACATCTTGAGTTCTAGGGAATTCCAAGAGAGTAAAAGTCAAAATTGATGCTTTCAAATGCTTCATTTGGCTATAGAAGGCAGTTAATCTTTATACAAGAATGTTCATTCAATTAATGTTTATTGCTGCTATGGTACCAGTTATATGTTTGAAAAATAATAATAATTTTGAAAAGCCAAACGTGGTAATCCTAGCTACTTAGGAGGGTGAGATCTGAGAATCGAGGTTCAGACTCTTATCTCCAATGAACCACGCAGAAAACAGGAAGTGGTACTGTGGCTCAAGTGGTAGAGTGCTCGCCTTGAGCTGAAGAGCTGAGGGACAGCACTTAGGCCGAGTTCAAGCCCCATGACTGACAAAAACAAACAAAAAACAAAAACACCAATTCTGTCAAGATACTCTGAAAGAGTAGAGATGTGCTAGTAAAACAAATCCTGCAGGTGGGCTCCAGTAGCTCATGCCTGTAATCCTAGCTACTCAGGAGACTGAAATCTGATTGTGGTTCAAAGCCAGCCAGGAAAGTCTATTAGACTCTTATCTCCAATTAATCACAAAAAAAAAGCTGGAAAAAAAAAAAAAGCTGGAAGTGGAGCTGTAGCTCAAGTGGTAGAATGCCAGCTTTGAGCAAAAAAAAACTCAGGGACAGAGCCCAGGCCTTGAGTTAAAGCTCCTGGATTGGCACAAAAACAAATAAACAAATTCTACAGAGATGATACTTTCTCCAACAAGTGCAAGAGAAAAAACATCCCCATGTAAGTTCACAGGGTGATGACCCTTATTTGTTACCAACCGCAACTTAAGCTTCTTTTGTGTGTCAGTCATAGGACTTGAACTCTGGGCCTGCATGGTGCTCAGCTCTTCAGCTCAAGGCTAGTGCTCTAACACTTGAGCCATAGTGCCACTTCTGGTTTTCTGGTGGTTTACTGGAGATGAGTCTCAAGGACTTTCCTGCTTGGACTGGCTTTGAACCAGCTTTGAACCAGCTCAAATCTAAGCCTCTTGAGTAACTAGGATTACAGGCATGAGCCACCAGGGCCAGGCTCAGGATAAGCTTTTATCTATTTTGAGGGAAAAGATGAGGAGCTGTCACATGTACTAACACCAATAACAATCATAAAGATAAAAACAAATTTGCATGCTCTGCCTGTTTCCTCCATCACATGGCAGTTACTGCTAGGGCTCAGTCTACTTTAGCCATGCTGCTGCAGTTAGATTCACTGTCTGCTAATACCCTAACCCTTTCCTGTATTTTGGAGGAAGCCCTTTTTGACACAGAGAATCTGTTGGGGCTGTTTCAGGCTCTCCCACCTGCCCTCTCCAGGCCAGCAGCTAAGCATGAGCTAGAAATAATTTGTACTCCCACTCTCAAGCTAGTGCTGCTGCCACAAACACACCAGCCACTTGGTTCTACTAATTACCAACATGCAAATCAGCCTCCACTGCAGACAGCTAGCTGGAAAGACAAGTTTTCCTTACCTCAAAAAGCCACTGTACCCCCACAGTCTCATTCTCCCTCTCCCACCCAGTTCATGGGCCCAGTTATACCTGGTTGTTCTTCCTCTAGCTCCAGGCTGCCAACCAAGCCAGTGCCATTCTCTGCCACAACTGAAGTCAGCTCCTTTTCTGCTGCCTCATCGGGATGGATACCACTGCCCACCTCCTGGGAGGGCGCAAAGGTCTGGATGCTAGATCCCAACATAGGAGAAGTCTGTGGGGAGGTGAAAAAACTTGGGGGTCCATTGGGCATCACCTCAAAATTCTGGTCAGGAAAGGAATCATATAGTTCCTGTGAGTCAAAGTTAAGCCCCATGGGACTCTGGGTACCGTTGGCCCAGAACTCTTGGCTCCCAGCCCGAAGGTTAGTGTTGTGACTTGGGGATGAAGGTTGCCGGCTGCCCCCAAGGATGCCATTCAGTGGGTACTGTCCCCCCGAGAACTGAGAGAGAAGGGGTGGGTCCTTGAGGTTGCTGCCAGGATTGGCAGGTGGGTACTGCGAGTAGTTCCAGAGACAGTCATAGGCCACGTTGGGGTGATGGAGGTGTGAGGTGCTGGAGGAGTGGGGAGCAGAGTTCAAAATCCCTGAAGTAGTAGTGTGAGATACAGTAGATAAGCCATTAACATTCACATCCCCATTCAAACCTGGCAGAAAAGGAGAGAAAAGGGTCAGTTATAGACATATATGGAAGCAATTCTATTAAAAGAACCCCAAAGTAATAGCCCTGACTAGAAAAAGGCAAGGTAAAAAAGAAGGGGAGCCTCCTCTGTTATATTTAGCTTTTGAGTCTCTGGGGAACACCAAACCCAGATGCTCCTGAATGCAAGCTTAGTGACTGCTGCAGAGGAGGGGCCAGGGAGCTCTCAGAGTCTACCATAGAAGCCACCAGCAGAGTGGCTGCTGTTGCAGGTTTTTTATTAAGTGAAGCTGTATACAGACTCCCTACAGTGACTTGCATTCTTCCCTACTCTCATGCCATAGAGGACTCTTCCCTTTGAAGGACATAACTGAATTCTTCGGTGCAGCCCCTTCCCTAATGCCTATTTGGCCCCACAGTGGTACCAGAAGGAACAGCCTCCACCTCACTGGCACATGCAGATCCAGCACTTTGTGCTGGGCTAAGAATAGAATTTGCAGTCACCACAGTGACAAGATTCCAGCTCAGAGGCTAGGCTTAGCCCCTCCCAATAGGTCCTGAAGAGTAATACGAAGGGGGTAAAAATCTTTGCATGATCAGAACTGCAGACTTCAGTTCTCAACACCAATGGAAACCTCTGAGATAACAGAGGACAATAAAAGAAACTGAAATTCCAAGTGTAGATCCTAATGAAATAAAGGAGTATCTATCTGAAAGCTCCTTGTTGAGAACAGAGGGAAAATGCTAAGCCTGTTTTTTTCTACTGCAAGGAAGGAGGGAAAGGAGGCCAGCTTCTTTTTGCTTCCAAGCATAAAGAATTTGAAACCTAAGCAACATCAGAAAAGTAGTTGGTAGAGTCATGGTTCAGAGTAATTGATAAGCCAAGTCCAGGAAAAAAACCAATCCTGGCACCAACACTTCCATCTGAAATGATGGGTAAACTAGACTGACCCTAAGGTCCCCTTGTAAGCCCTACCTTCTATCCAAGAGAAAGAGGTGACACAGTTCACCATCAACCCTTTTTTCTGCTGCACAAATTAAAAGGCAAATATATCAACTTTTCCATACCTTCCTTGCCTCTAGTACTATCCCAAAGTAACTTCTCCAACCTCTAAAATCAGCTTCTCAGGAGGCAAATCCTTAATCTTTCATAGATCCACCCTGATTATCAGCAGCAGCCCTACACCATTCTTTGGCAATAGCCAAGGAACAGGATTGACAGGAGAACAGTCTAAGATGATAAAAGTACTATTTTTTCCTAACCCATTCCAACCTTAAGTCAAGAATGAAAGTGTTACTTCCATAAATCCCTTGAACTTATTCTTGGAAGTTTGATTGAATGGATTTGCTTCCTCTCTCACTACCTGCCAAGAAAGAGCTGTTGTGGAGTAGTTAAGCACAAAGTGGAGCCAACTCTCCTCCCATCAACCTGCCCTAAAGAAACAGTACCCACTCCCTCCCAAGGACATGTGGCCTTGACACTCACTTTTCCCTTGCTGAGGGAAGTTCATGGGAGACCCGTTAGTGTAGAGGCCCTCCCCTGAAGGAGAGGGTTTCAGTCCTGAGGCAGCAGGTGCGGGGGGAAGGCCAGTAAAGTAAAATGGTCGTTTGCCTCCATTTCTGTAGGAGGGGAGAGAGAGAAGGGGAAAAAAAATACTGGTGGTTAAACAAGTTTATATCACCTGGCATCTCATAGAGGGAGGTACCCTTTATTTACCTTTTTCTATTTAGGCACTGAAAGGAGGAAACTATACCCCCAACCTGGGTAATGACCCCATAGGAAGGCTTTTGTTTTCTTAGTGACACTTGAAATCAGAGCTGGCAAAGTCATGCTCCAAGCCTTTTTCCCCCCTTCATTTTTTCAGATAGTGCCTTGTTCTTTGGGGCCAGCCTTGGACCCCCATCTTCCTACCCCTGCCTCCCACATAGCTGAGGTTACAGGTATATACCACCAAATTTGGCTCGTTTCTTTTTGTTGTGTGCCAGTACTGGAGGGTGAATTAAAAATGGCCAAGGTGCTCTCCCATTTGAGATGAATCTCAAATTCCAACTTTTTGCCGGTTAATTGAAAATTAAGAGTATCATGGAAGCTGGGAGCTGGAGGTTCACGCATATAATCCTAGCTGCTCAGGAGGCTGAGAGCTAAAGATTGCAGTTCAAAGCCAGCCCAGGCAGGAAAGTCTATGAACTTTTTTTTTTTTTTTGTCGGTCGTGGGGCTTGAACTCTGGGCCTGGGCGCTGTCCCTCAGCTCTTCAGCTCAAGGCGAGCACTCTACCACTTGAGCTACAGGGCCACTTCCGGTTTTCTGGTGGTTTATTGGAGATAGGAGTCTCACGGTCTTTCCTGCCCGGGCTAGCTTTGAATCTCAATCCTCAGATCTCAGCCTCCTGAGTAGCTAGGATTACAGGCGTGAGCCACCAGCGCCCGGCTATGAAACTCTTATCTCCAATAAATCACCAGAAAACTGGAAGTGGTACTGTGGTTCAAGTGTTAAGAGTGCTAGCCAAGAGCTGAGGGACAGCGCCAAGTTCAAGCCCCACGACCAACAACAACAAGAACAAAAAAAAACACCAGGAAGTGGCGCAGTAGCTCAAGTGGTAGAGCACTAGCCTTGAACTGAAGAGCTGAGGGACAGCACCCAGGCCCAGAGTTCAAGCCCCACAATCAACAAAAGATTCTCAGACTTTCCTACCTGGGCTGACTTTGAACTGCAATCCTTAGATCTCAGCCTCCTGAGTAGCTAGGATTACAGGCATGAGCCACGAGCAGACCACATTTCTGCGTAGCTAGGATTATCCTTCTACACCTCATTTATTTTCTGCAATAGTCTCAATAACAATTTTTGTCCAGCTGGTCCTGAACCATGATATTCCTATCTCCACCTCCCCTATAGCTGGGATTACAGGTGCATGCCACTGCACTTGGCTTAAAAAGGTTTTAAAGATGCCTTTGGAAAGTGTGGTGTATACACCTATAATCCTAGCACTTGGGAGGCTGTGGCAAGATGATCAAGTGTGAGGCCAACCTGGGCAATGAAGTGAGCTCTAGGCCACTGTAATGTCTCAAAACAACAACAACAACAAAAAAAAAACACAGCCAGTCAGACAGAGATCTGAGGATCAAAATTCAAAGCCCACTTGGGCAGAAAAATCCATGAGACTCATCTCCAATTAACTACCAGAAAACTGGATGTGGTGAGATTCTTTTTTATTTTGGCCAGTCCTGGAGTTTGATCTCTGGGCCTGGGCACTGTCCCTGAGCTTCTTTGCTTAAGGCAAGCCCTCTACCACTAGAACCATAGCACCATTTCCAGCTTTTTTGAGTTTATTGGAGACAAGTCTCACAGACTTTCCTATCCAATCTGGCTTAGAACCACGATCCTCAGATGTCAGGCTCCTAAGTAGCTAAGATTACAGATGTGAGCCACCAGCACCCAGCAGTGGCAAGATTCTTTTTTTTTTGGGGGGGGGGGCAGGTGTCTGGTCATGGGGCCTGAACTCTGAGCCTGGGCTCTGTCCCTCAGCTCTTCAGCTCAAGGCTAGCACTCTACTACTTGAGCCACAGCCCCACTTCCGGCTTTTTTCTTTTTGCTTATGTGGTGCTGAGGAATCAAACCCAGGGCCTCATGCATGCAAGGCAAGTGCTCCACCACTGAGCCACCTTCCCAGCCCAGTGGCAAGATTCTTAATGAGCAGAAAGATGGAAGTGGAGATGTGTCTTAAGTGGTAGAATGAACAAAAAAGTTGAGCAAGAGTAAAACCTTGCGTTCCAGCCCCGTCCCAGTAGTTGCAGAGAGGGGAGAGAAAAGAGAAGATATTGTTCAGCAGCCTAAGGTCTGAAAAATAATAATCAGATCAATAATCCTGACAGAAAGATATTTAAAAGCAAAGATTATTGTCTAATCTATAGGTTAGGTTCCTCCCAATGCAGATTCATTTGGAAATGCTATGCCTGCACAAACATTTCATCTCAGCCTACATTCCCTTTCTCCCCATTTATACAGTTGCACTTCTGCTACTGCATGTGGAGAGGACATACACCTTTTTTTCTCTATGCCTCTGGACTATATCCTCTAACTCAATGATGGGAGACAGTTCATTTTTCCATTTTCTATTTGAATCCATGAGGAAACTAATGACCTTCTCTCTGCTACTCTATGAAACCTCAGCATATCTTCTTTTTAAATCCCATACTAGCAACAGTAAGTGGATAGCAAATAGATATTAGAGAAGTAGATGAAAATGGGAAGTTATCTGGTAGTGAGCTGTTTCCTTACCTGCTCCACTACAGGGTGACAGGAACCATTTCATTTACAAGCTTCCTAGACACATGAAATAATCTGTGATGTACAATAAGGGTAACAGGCTCTAAGTTAAAGTCATAGTTCTAATAGCTGCTAGTTCTTTGACCTTGGACAAGTTGCTTAAACTTGCTGAACCTTAGTTTCATCTTCTGGAAAAGACTGTGTGCATTTGCAGTGCCTGTGAAAACTAAATAAAGAAAATCTACATAAAGGCCCTAGGCAGTGTCTGCCATTTAACAGGCACTCGATAAACATTAGCTATTATTACTGGACAAGAGTAAAAAATATTTTGTTTTCAAAATGATTATTGGTTTGAAAAGGTGTACATATAATTTAAAACTACTATCAATATGGGAGAACACTACAAAACTGGAGATGACGGCTGGGAAGGTGGCTCAGTGGTAGAGCACTTGCCTTGCATGCCTGAGGCCCTGGGTTCGATTCCTCAGCACCACATAAGCAGAAAAAAATAAAAAGCCGGAAGTGGCTCTGTGGCTCCAGTGGTAGAGCACTAGCCTTGATCTGAAGAGCTGAGGGACAGTACCCAGGCTCAGAGTTCAGGCCCCACAACCAGACCCCCCAAACAAAACAAAAACAAAAAAATACTGGAGATGAAGCTGGGAGCTCACAACTGTAATCCTAGCTATTCAGGAGGCTGAAATTTGAGGATTGCAGTTTGAAGCCAGTACAGTGTTGAGACTCTATCTCCAATTAACCACCCAAAAGCCAGAAGTGATGCTGTGGCTCAAGTGACAGACCACTAGCCTTGAGTCTGTGTGTGTGTGGGGAGGGGGGGCAGTGCCCAGGCCCTGAGCTCAAGCCACACAACTGAGAAAAAACAAAAACAAAACCTAGAGCTGATTCAGCCAGACTTCCTTGTGCCTAATTTGAAATGTCACTTAACAAATGTCACAATACGGGAATATAATGAAAATGTGAACAATTCCTCTCTGTAATAAATCTAGGATTATTTCATTTTAATCTTCCTAATCCAAGATGCTTTTCAAAATAAAGTCTTCCAATCTAGAACTAGTAAGAACAGCAAAGGAAGGGTGTCTTCCTTTGAACTAATAGGAGTTTTGCCAAACAAAAAGAGAAACCAGCCAGTACCCAACTCCCAGAATGACAGCTCTCATATCCACGGAGTACAATCAGAGAAGCACTTAGATCAATCCCAGTTCCTGTGGCTCAAGCCTGTAAACTTAGCTACTCAGGATGCTGAGATCTGAGAATCACAGCCAGGAAGCCCATGAAACTTATCTCCAATTAATCACAGAAAAAGCTTAAAGTGGAATTGTGGATCAAATGGTAGAATGCTAACCTTGAGCAAAAGGAGCTCAGGGACTGCTCAAGCCCAGAGTTCAAGTCCTAGCCCTGGCAAGCAAGCAAATAAATAAATAAATCCTGTGTCAAAAGAACATTGCCTCCATAGGAAGGACTTGAGAAATGGCAGCTCTGAATACAGACAAGCAGCTCTGCTTCAACAGCAGGATATAGCACAGTCAGGTTTTCAGATGCAACCTCCAACATTTCAAAAGCAACACTCATACAAAGTCCTAAATTCGGAAAAACAAAAAGTTCTCACACAATATCTGAGGGGAGTTTGGGGGGATATAAAAAAAAAAAAAAAAAAAGAACATTGCCCCTTAAGCATGCAGCAGTAAGGCCCTAGTCACATAGCTAAAGGGGCAGCTTTACAATTTTTTTTTTCGGTCAGTTGTCGGGCTTGAACTCTGGGCTAGGGTGCTGTCTCTGCACTCTTCAGCTCAAGGCAAGCACTCTATCGTTTGGGCCACAGCACCACTTCCAGTTTTCCAGTAGTTTATTGGAGATAAGAGTCTCATGGACTTTTCCTGCCCAGGCTGGCTTTGAACCGTGATTCTCAGATCTCAGCCTCCTTAGCAGCTAGGATTATAGGCATGAGCCACTCAAATTAGTGTGGTGGCTCATCCACGAAAAATTCAAGTTCAAGACCAGACTGAGTTACATACATATCAAGAACTGAAGAGCAGGAGGGCTGGGAATGTGGCTCAGTAGTAGAATGCTTGCCTAGCATGCACGAAGTCCTGGGTTCGATTCCTCAGTACCACATAGACAGAAAAGGCTGGAAGTGGTGCTGTGGCTTGAGCAAAAGTGTGCTAGCCTTGAGCAAAAGAAGCACAGGGGGGCTGGGAAGGTGGCTCAGTGGTAGAGCGCTTGCCTTGCATGCATGAGGCCCTGGGTTCTATTCCTCAGCACCACATAAGAAAAAAGAAAAAGAAAAAAAAAAAGCACAGGGACTGTGTGTAGGCCCAGAGTTCAAGTCCCAGACTGGAG